GCTGCCGGGCCCCGCGGAGGGGAGGAGAAGAAGAGGAAGAAGAAAAAGAGGAAAGCGGCGGCTAAGGTGGAAGAAGGTACGTTATCTTAACAAATACAACTTTTTTCCCAGGGCTGAGTTAGTCTCGGAGAGCCCAAAAAGCGCCTGTTTCGTTTTCCACCCTGTGGGAGAGGATTTGTTGGCTGGACTGTGAGAAGTGCCGTGTGTCAGTCTGGCCTACGTTTTACAGCCCTGGACATCTTCACTAATACCGGTTTTCTTATTCCAGCTGTTAACATTAGAACTCTAGTGTGTACTAAACTGGTAGCAACTGATTTAATTGCCACGTAGAATTCTGCTTTGTAACATGAAGTGTGGATGTTTCACTTGTCTATTAAGCAAATATATATACTGGCTTTCAAAGTAGAGCTTTAACAGATGGATGCTTTCTGTGCTTAAATGTCCAGCCAGTACATCTTTTTAGCAAAGCATCTAGCCTTTGGCAACATCTATATATTATGAAACTAAAGTTACCCCCAAAATTGCATCCTGCAAGTATTGGTAGGTTTTTATATGTTTTTTATACATACATAATCACATATATACATTTTTACATATATTTGAAACATTTGTCTCTTACGTCTTTGATCCTTGTGACACTTCTCATGGTTATGCAAATAACGAGGTGTTTTCGTGCAGTTCTCTGAGGATTCAGGCACTTAAAACAGAACAGACATTACATTTCACATGCCCTGAGCACAAACCTTGTTGGAAACTTGATGTCTGCATTACAGATAGGAAAGGATTTTGTAACTCGTTCCATGCTTCCACGGAAAATTTCATATAGTATACATTAAGCTTCGCTGGTTTACTGTGTGAAGTGTATTGTGTGTGCAAGAAACTTCTGAATTTTTTGCTCTCTGCCTCAGAAATTTCCATAGAAACCTTGTCTTCCCTTCTCCTGCCCTCCTCCAACCGCATGAAAAAAGCATGCAATTTGTAAGTGGATTACAGAGTAAAGAAATTCACTCTGTGGAACAACTTAATGATGAACACGTCCCTCATCTCTCGAATTGACTTGTCTTTTGTAAAATAATGCTCTAGATACAGAAACTAAAAAAGCAAAACCTGAAGATGAATCTGTGGAGGTAGAAGATGAAGATAAGGAGGATTCTGGAGAGAAAGAAGTGGAAGAGGAGGGGGAGGAGGATGAAGTGCCTAGTTTACCACTAGGTGTAACAGGTATCTTGTGACTACTTCTTCATATGTGTGCAAAAATCCAAGATCTAATGCTTTCTGCCAAAGCAAGTTGCAGGTTTCAAATTAGCTTTATAAGTCAAGTATTTGAATATAGGTGACATGACACTGGCAACTGTACAGCTATTGCTCAGTTCATGTTATTTGCAATTTACATTATATACAACTAGTATAATTTGCATTATATCCTATTAGTCTTAAAACTGCTAGTGAAAGTCTGCTTTAAACCATCTACATACACATATATGTTTAACTGTAGAAGAAAAAATCGATGAAGAACAAGATGGAGGTGTACGATTAGTAAATTCAGCATGGGAAGCAGTGCATTCAGGTTCATTTTTAACAGCTCTGTGTAGTATTCCTAGGAGCACAGTAATACAGAGTATTTCGTCAGCATCTTCGGATTTTATGGTAGAAAGGAATATGAAAAAGTCCTTTGCTTTGATTTCCGCCCCCCCCCCCCATCTAGTTCAATTTTAACTGGGTGATCTTGGGGGGACAGATGGAACTGAGAAATAAGTTTGAATATTTTTTTTTATTCTCTCCTACTTCAGGTGCTTTTGAAGACAATTCTTTTACTTCCCTGGCTGGTGTTGTCAGTGAGAATACACTGAAAGGCATAAATGACATGGGGTTTACACACATGACTGAAATTCAGCATAAAAGTATTAAGCCACTTCTGGAAGGCAGGTAAGAAATACATATTTTAATCACTATATTGACCCAAAATGTTGTGTAAATTTTGCTAGCAAACCAAATACATGAAATGTGACTTTCTGCAGCTAAACTGTTTGGTCGTGGGTTTTTTTAATATGTTTATACGTTTTAAGTGTTTTGTTTATAGCCATTAATACAAGTTAACACAGCGTATCTGTGTTGTGTGTGAACAAATACTTGGGGTAAGCTCATGGAAAGTGCTTTGCGTTTGGCTTTGGAAGCAGGGAAGTCTGTTTTCACTGGGCTCGTGTCAGCATGTCCAAAGGGTCTCTAGAGATGTGGTGACCAATTGCTGTGAACCGCCTCTGCTACTGAGCTCTTAATACCAACTCTACTGGTTTCCTGGAAGCCGTGGTTTTGTTTTTACATCGTCAGCACTGTTCAAAATAGGACTGTTCTTTTCTCTGTAGGACTAACTAAATACTTCTCTTTCTAACTTTGCTACATACAGGGATATTTTAGCAGCTGCAAAAACTGGCAGTGGCAAAACACTTGCATTTCTTATTCCTGCAATAGAGCTCATCTACAAGTTAAAATTCATGCCTAGAAATGGTAAGGCTCTTTATGTCACAGTTGAGTTTTACTGTGGCACAGTCATTTAGGGATGTGGCTAGGAGGGAGATTGGATGAGTTGTAACTCATTCGTGTCTGATGTATTTTCTAGGAACAGGTGTCATTATTCTTTCTCCTACTCGAGAGCTTGCTATGCAAACTTATGGAGTTCTTAAAGAACTTATGAATCATCATGTTCACACATATGGTCTGATAATGGGGGGCAGTAACAGATCAGCAGAAGCGCAGAAACTTGGAAATGGAATCAACATCATTGTAGCAACACCAGGAAGACTGCTGGATCATATGCAGGTAGATAAAATATTGATGTCTAATCTGCGTTATTAAAATATAATAAAAGTCCCGTCCCTGTCTGACTCTGAATTTGTTAATCTTCTAGAACACTCCGGGTTTCATGTACAAGAACTTGCAGTGTTTGGTAATTGATGAGGCAGATCGTATCTTGGAGGTTGGATTTGAAGAAGAAATGAAACAGATCATAAAACTTCTACCAAGTAAGAAAAAAAAAAATTGTCTTTCCTGGAAATCACTTGGCTAACATTATGTCTTCTTTATGAGTCAATTATTATAAGAGAAATCATTAATTTTTATAGTTCTGTAAATGCATTTGCAAGGCATTGTCTTACTCTGTCCTTTTTTCCTGATAGCTAGAATATATTACTTTATTTAACATCATTTATCTGAAGGACACAGTTTTCATATGTGCTTTAGGGATATAATTCTGTTCATATAAGATCCTTTTAGTTTAACGTCTACGTTCTCTCATTCATCTTCCCCTGCCCGTTTATTTCCTGCAGTTCATTATTTCCTAATACGGCTTAAATATAAGGAAAAAGGTCTTCTGACTTGCAGTTTGAATTTTCTTGTATCTCCAAGAAATATATTAAGAAAGTTTATTTGAATATGTACCTTAAAATTTTATTTTCCAAATTTTTAATTTAGTTATTCCTTGTAATTGATGTATGAAACACATTGTCAGAGCCAACAAGGCTCTCCCTTTAACTTCCAAAATGCAGAAAAAAAACCTCACAGAAATAGTACATAAAAAAGCATTGATAAATATTTTGAGGTTCCACATCTTAAATATTAAAATTCAGATGTGCATGTTTAAAATGCAGATATATAAATGTAATAACAGCCTGTGAAGAATGTTAATGAATAGTGCTAAAAATGGAAAGGAAAGGAAGAGTGGGAAAATTACATGTTCATGAAGTGGAAAATGATAGACAAAATATTTTTATTTTGCATGAGTTTAATTTGGTTTTGTCCTGTTAGGAAGGAAATTATATTTTAAAACAGACATTTCAAAATACAAAAAAAAGCAAAATTCAAAAGTGGTGGCACCGGTTGTTTGGCAAGAACAGTTGCTGCTGTTCTTGCAGTTGTGAAATGGAACAGGCTAAGTCTGTGGTTTTCCACGTACTTGTGTAACAAGAAAATGTTACAGGACTGGGATGTGTATTTGAGCTGAAGGATGGTCGCACACCTGCTCTAAGATCAGTGAGGTCACTGAGGCTCACTGCAGATGTACTGGCACGTGATTAAATAGCATGCACAAGCGTATATGTTGTAGACTGCACAAGATAAAACTTAGTAAAAACTAAAGTGCATTATTACTGTTTGTTTTGCAAAGTCATCTCCAGCATGATTTTTTTTTTAAAGGCATTTTTTAATATTCATGGGAATTAGATCTATAGTTAGAGTTACAAGGTTGGTCTCTATTTAAATCATTATTTTGTGTCCACATTGGAGTGCAAATGATTATTAATGTTTTCCCAGAGAGAAAGAATATTGTGTTTTGATAGATATCAGGATTTCAGGAGTTGGGGCAGCCTAAGTAAACATCCTGTACAATCCATAATACAATTACACCTGTCTTTGTTATTATCAGTATGTTGGAATTAGAATTTAGTTGAAAAAAGGAGATGACTTGCTCAGGGAATTTTGCAGCTAGAGATTTTATGGACTTGCTATTTGAATTCTCCTTTAAAAATGAGGCTCTCTTTCAAAACAAATATTTTTCAGAGCGCAGACAGACAATGCTTTTTTCTGCTACACAAACCAGAAAGGTTGAAGATCTGGCAAAGATCTCTCTGAAGAAAGAGCCGCTATACGTTGGGGTTGATGATAACAAGGAGACAGCAACAGTGGATGGTCTTGAACAGGTAAAACACAAATGTTATTAAAAGGGCCTGATCTGTGAACGTACGAAGTCCTGTGTGTTTTAAGTGGGTACAAACACTGTCTTAAAGGGTCTTTACCATCCCAATGGGCAAAAGCTATCAGTTGCCTAAAGGGCTTTATTCTGTTTGCTAACTATCATCAGTTATGTGCATCTAGCCAATATTTGCAGGACAGATGATATAAAATCTCATGAACTAGTACTGTAGTTACTTACACTTGTCTATTCCCATCCGTATTACATACCTAAGCTCCAGTTGTCTTTCTAACTCTATTTTCCACGTTACTGACTAATGATATATATACTTCAGATATATTTCATTGTTGCTGCTTCAGATGCTAGCTAAACAGCAGTTTCTGGGTTTGTGCAGTTGACATGATGAGTGTTGTTATAAAATTACCAGTAGCTTTGTATTACCTTAAAAGAGTAAACCGGTAGCAAGAATTCCGTAAAATAAAATTCTTGAAATCATAAAAAATGTTAATAACCTTATGCAGTTATTTTCATGCCTAATGTCAGTAATTCGGAGTTCTTGAAATTAAGTTTTGTTGTATAAACTAATTACTTTTCAGTGAACTTACATTTGTTTGGATAATTAACTAAAAATTACTACTTAAGTTAGTACAGTAAGTTTCTTACCAAGTTCATGGTCTTCAGGAGTTTCATATACCAAGGTGAGGGACAGACAATAAATCAAATGGTTTGGCTCAATATAGCTGGAAAAATTAACTATTTTGCATATTTGTTTCACAACATAACACTTCCCTGATTTAACTGTATTGCTGAAGCAAAAGTTTGTTCCATACTACTTTATTTAACAATATTTTAAAATTTTCCAGGGGTATGTAGTGTGTCCATCTGAAAAAAGATTCCTTTTGCTCTTCACATTCCTCAAGAAGAACCGGAAGAAGAAACTAATGGTATTTTTTTCTTCATGTATGTCGGTGAAGTACCACTATGAATTACTCAACTATATTGATCTGCCTGTTTTGGCCATTCATGTAAGTATTTTATTAACTGATTAATTAATTTGATGGTACCTGTAAGTTGTTACTGACCTTACATTTGCCTCGTTTATTTCTGTCCAGTTTCTAGTAAAGAGATACCCTGCTCACGAAACTGATGATGGTCTTGATTAGTCTGTAGAGGAAGGAGATAAAGCAAAGGCTATGTAATAACAACACTTGAACATTGTTAATCCTGGTATTTTCCAGACCAGGGTTGAACACTGAGACTAATTTATTTTCTGTGTGTAGAAAGCTTTCCGTTTTCTTTCCAGGGGTCACCTTTTATAAGCACTAAAACTCAATTTGTGGGGCAAAGCTATTGTCAGAGGAATCCAAACTTTCTGATCCCTGGAATGTTGGGTGCTTTTTCTAAGGCCAGGCTGATGTTTGGTTTTACTATGCCAATTCTTACCATTTGGATGAGTATTTTAAATTTTTATCAAAACCACAAAATGCATAGTTCAGGAGAAAGAATTGACTGAAAGTTTATGAAATAATTATAACTGACCACAAATGTCCTTTTTTATTTTGTCCTTTTGGGGATTTTTTTTTTTTGCTATACTTTGATAGAACTGTTACAAGTATTTTACTGTCATCTGTCTAACATATTGCTAGACTTGCAAATGTCCTTTTTCTGAACTCGAGGCATTTATGCAGCCCTCCTGAAAAGAACGCTTAGGCAACCAAATTTTCAATGCTTTGGAAAGTACAGTGTAACCTCTGGGAGATACAGTTTCAGGTAGCCCTGTGCTGTTGACTGCCATAGCATTGTTTCTTCACAGTGAAATGGTCCTGCTTGGTCCGTACAAGTCCATGGTATGGAAAGATGCCCCAAATTATTTTACGTTTTTGGCAGGGATATCATATGTGAAATGGGAAATTAGATTTAAGCTTATAAGTTGGCAGATTTATTTTTTTTTTCAGTTGATATTTCATCCTTAATGTGTTTGTTTCCTTTTAGGGCAAGCAGAAACAAACCAAACGCACTACAACGTTTTTCCAGTTCTGTAATGCAGAATCTGGAATACTGTTGTGCACCGATGTCGCTGCCAGAGGATTGGATATTCCTGAAGTTGACTGGATTGTCCAGTATGACCCTCCAGATGATCCAAAAGTAAGTTAAGAAAATAGAGAAACTTCACAGCAACAAATCAGATCCTAGCTACAAACACGGTTGCAGAGAAAAGCTGAAACTGCTGCTTGACAGAGGTCAGGATTCAGTCATGTTCATATCTAACAGCTTTCCCTTCATCAGCTCCTAGGAAATGCTGCACCTAGCCTGAGACCTTTGTTACTTTTTTAAGAGTTGCTTTTTAAAACATTACTCTGTGTGCTGTTAAATTAATTTAAAATCTGATCAGCTAAACAACAAAACACTTCTCAGGAGGAATATGAGTTTATATATGCATCCCTGAGTCTCCTAAACAGCTTTTCCAGTGGAAATTTTATTTTTATTTAAAAACCAACATTCTTATTTGAATAAATGTCCAGTGTAAACAAGTGAAACTCAGAAAACCTCAGAAGTTTTGACAAATACACTGAGCGAGTATACCAAAAGCAAAGTTTAATTTTCAGTTAGACTAAGATTTTTTTCTTCTGAAAAAGGTAAAATACTCTGTCAGGGGTTTCTGTCTCAGCCTAATTATGCTTTGCATCTTCAGCACTTGGTTTCCCTCATCCATGTGTCTGTGCTAAGAAAAAGTCTTAAAAAATAATGGATGATACATAACACTATATTAATGTTAAATTGGGGGGTGAAGCTATTTGTTTATTACGTGTTTGAAAGACAGATTGGACTTGCTGTTTCTTATTCTTTCCAAAAGGAATATATTCATCGTGTTGGTAGAACAGCCAGAGGCATAAATGGTAGAGGACACGCTCTGCTCATTTTAAGACCAGAAGAACTGGGCTTTCTTCGTTACCTAAAACAAGCCAGGGTAAACTTATGTCTTTTTTTTTTTTTTTTTTTTCACTCTCTAACAGGTTTTTAAAGGCAAAAACTGTAATGATTACTCAAACATTTTAATTTTTTAAGCAAAAAACATTCTGTTGCTTAGAAAATATTTAGCTGAACATCTGACTTGAAGTCTGAAGTCAGCAGCACAAAGGTGAATATTGAGTGTATTTTTAGTTGCTTTGCAGCGGTGCAACTTGTGTTAGCAAAAAATAAATAAATTTCTTATGCCTCCTCTGTGGAAGGATACTGGGAGGAGCTTGGCCATCCAGAGGAAATTAAACCACAGATGTTGCTCGTGCAGTTTTTATTTTTTCTATTCAAAGAATCAATTGCATTTTGTTCCAATTCCAAAAGAAGCGTAGCTGCCTTCTAAATGTAATCATTTTAATATGATAGAACTGCACGTAGTTTCTTGGTTGCTCTCCTTATGGGCTTGTTTACGAGTTTTGCCACTTGTAACTGAAGTGATATGGCTTCTAAAGCAAAAGCTAAAGGGGTAAAAGTGTCATACTGAGTGTCTTTGTTACTCTAGCTTAAAGGAAGTGATAATACTGGCATGTTGATGTAAAGGCATTTTATAAATATGTCTGTGAAGGGTAATAATGGTATAATAAATGTGTAATGGTGTGATCGTTGCTTTGAATAAAAGATGATGCCAAAACCTTAAAAATATGTACACGTGTGCTTTTCATTCACGAAAACATCCTTGAACTTCAGAGTTGTAATTGCATATTGACAAATACAGCTGTGGTATTAAAAAAAACACATTCACTACTTACACAGTATAAATAACTTTGCTATTTTATTTCTTTTTTTTTCAGGTACCTCTAAGTGAATTTGAATTTTCTTGGTCAAAAATTTCAGACATCCAGTCTCAGGTATGCAATGACTTCATGTTACAGCTACTCTGAATATCTGTGTAATAATTTACATGGAGAATGTTAGTCTATAATGACTGCAGTTGAAAAATATATATGCTTGTTTGGAAAAGTTCCTCTAGGTGAGTACTGTGCAGTAAATCCTCCTGCCATATTGTCCCTTGATGATGGTAAAGTGATAAAATGTTTTGAAGTTAAAGCTTAATTTTACTATCCAGTACTAAATTGTCATCATTATACAGTATGAATTTGCTTGTAAGAATTGAGGGTTTTGCATTACATCGCAAAACCACAGTGATGTAAACCTCCTTTAAACTTTGAACAGAATGTTCTGGTCTGGCATAGCAAAGAGGGTTTTGGCTTTTATTGAATAGTTACATATGTTCAGATTAATTGTCAGTACCACATATCTTTTACAATGATTTACTCAGACTTCAGTTTGCAGAAGATCCAGTGCCAACAGTTAGAAGTGTTAGTATATAGTCCAGGTGTATTTTTCACTAGCTGGTGTTAATAAAGGCCAGAATCAACTAAACCTGTTTTGTGCTCCAGTGCTACAACAATAGCCATGGAGCAAAAAGTTGAATAGAATAGCATAGATAGTTTGTAGAACTGTGGGTTTCTATTGTTTCATTCTCTGAATCATTCTTTTGATAAGAGCTCTGTAAAGCTTCTTTGCAGTAACTTAAGCCTGAAATAGCAAGTACAAGCAGCAGTGAAGACACTCCTTACAGTAGGAGGTTCCTAGTTAATAATTAGGAAGTAATGATGTCTAATGTAACTTATTTTTGGTATGCTGAATTAATGTATGTTAAACATCAAATGAGACACTTGAATCTAAAGAGTATTGGGAACTTGGCCTGCAACAAATAAAGTGTCTCTGCCTACAACCAGTGCATCTGCATTTTTGTCTTAGAATTAATACTGCTTATTTTACAATGCATTTGCACCGTAATAGGTAAGACTACATTTAGAATTACATGGAATGGTCCAGTTTAGATGTCTGACTTAAAAGTATACTGTCGTTAACCATTAATTCTGAATACACGTAGTTTCATGGTAGGAATCCTTCTTGATTAACTTGTTTGGGACAACCCAATTTAGTATTTGTGTAAATTTTCATATTGCTGAGGCTTTGTATGTAATTCAGCTTCAGGCTTTTTTGTCCGTCTGGTTATGAAAGCGCTCTGATATATGTATGTGGACTCTACTGTCACAGGGCAATTTTCCTGAAGTGAATAGTGAATGTCACTGCAACACAGTAAATAATCTGCTTGAATATAGTTTATACACTTGTTACAGCTATAATTGGATATGTCTCTTGTTTTTTTCTCTCTCACCAGCTGGAAAAGCTGATTGAGAAGAACTACTTCCTTCACAAGTCAGCCCAGGAAGCATACAAAGCTTATATTAGAGCTTATGACTCCCATTCTCTGAAGCAGATCTACAATGTCAATAACTTGGATCTTCCCAAAGTCAGCCTGTCGTTTGGTTTTAAAGTTCCTCCGTTTGTTGACCTCAGTATCCTTTTACTGCAGTGTTTCAAAGCTGAATTTCTGCATTATAAATGTTAAATGCAACTTACTGAAGTTCCTATGCTACTTCAAATTCTTTTTTTTAATCTTTTTTTGCTATTAATCACATAAATGCATCATGCTCCAACAATAGTTTATTAAAGAAAATATTAAACAGCAAACACTAAAACTGCAAAAATTGCCTACAAACATCAGTGTTCTAGTGCACGTACGTGCTGTACATGCTTCAGTTGCTGCGGGGTAGCAGATACTGGAATGCATACATGCAGATGTGTTCTAGAGCACTGTTCTCCTCCATGCAAAATTATTTTCATTGAAAGGTACATTATTAAACTTAAGTTTAATAATCATGGAAATTGAAATAGAGGGGCAAGAGCATGAAATAGAAGACTGTATCTAGATTACTGTCAAACCTGGCAGCAGATGGAATTTGAAGCAGTAGTACTTTGGCCAACTTAGTTGGACAACTGGAGGAATAAAAGCATTGTTTAGAACCACAGGCACAAAGTTCCAGTTTTGTCTGTATTATGCAACTCAACTTTTTGTATAATACAGCTGTGTTTTCTCACATTAATCATAACCCTTACCATACCTAAAAAGCAACATTTCCTTTTTAAGTTCTTTAACCAATAAAATTCCAGATGTGAACAGCAACCATGGCAGAAGACTCCAGAAAAGAGGTGGAGGTGGAGGATTCGGTTACCAGAAATCAAAGAATGTCCACAAAGCTAAAATCTTCAAACACATTAGCAAGAAGTCAGATAGTCGGCAGTTTTCTCGTTAATCATACGTTCATTAAAATGGCCTGTGGCGTTGGAATAGACTACCTTGATCAAAACCATCTGGCAGTTACTTCCAATTTAAACTTCTCTATTCATATTTTAGGAGTCTTTATGGTTTTGTTTATGGGCACATCTTTCATCTTTCGGTTCAAGAAGACCCTTTGGAAGGGACACTAAAGATAGAAAGGGAGCTAATTTTACCCTACTTGTTGTAAGGAAGAAGATAGTTGAATATAATTATCTTAAGTCAGTACTACGGAGTTTTTTATTAAAGAAAAAATACTTCTAGGTTTTATAGAAGAATTTGCTTTACATTTACCCTTGTTTCTATGTAAACCTCTGAAAATTGTTGGACATATTTCAGTGTGAGATTAAAAAAAACAAACTTGCTCAGATGAATCATTGCAAGGGTTTTTAGTGCTACAGAACTGCTTTGTCCATCAAATATGCTGAAGAATATAGGAAGATTCCTTTAGAACAGAACATACCTATGAATAATTAAGACTGTATGAGCTTGTGATTAATTTCAGTCATGGTATCTGTATAACAAATACAGTGTCCAAGATTTAAAAAAAAAATATACCACATCTGGGACATTATTAATACTGTTTCTTTTAATGTTGTGATAAAATGGTAACATTCTAGTGAAACATTTGGTTTTCCTTCCTGTGCACTTTAAATCTGAGTGTATCCATCTGGTAATGTCTAGTGTACTCTTATGAATATGCAAAGAAAATTTAAGAAAAGATTACATAAACTGAAGCACTCAGCCCAGAAAATGCTTTTTAAAATGCTCCATAACCTTGATGGATAGAATTTTTTTGAAGCTTGTGTCTTGTAAATTACAAAAGTGAACTGCTTTTTAGTCTTAGTTCATCAGATCAGTGATGGGCAAAGTCAAAGATACTGCCACAGAATTGAGGATGTGGAGAGATGGAATAAGTGAGAAAGTGAATTGAGGTATAAATGTACTAGAAGGATATTTTGAGGGAGAAATAAATGGAAGAGGGCAGAATACACATTGCAAAGAGAACAAACATGGAGACTAAGTATGGAAAGAATACACATGTTGGGCAAAAGTAGAGTAACTATTACATATTTTCATATCTCTGCCATTGCAGAAGTAGGTAACTATTTTTATGAGGCTACACTGGTGGTGGGCAATAGCATTTCAAAAATGTGCATCTGTCAGCTCAGGGTAAGATTAAAATGTCCCAGAACCCAGAAATCTGGGCCCCGTGTGATTACAGTAAAACAGCTTTTAATTTACATCTCAGATGTAACCCAGGACCATTTATCAATACAAAAGGATGTGTAGTTATGCCAATAGAAAATGGGCTGTTATTCCTTAGGGTTTTTGGAGTAGCATGTCAGATTTAAAACCATGATACGTGCTGCATTGATGCATTGCAGAAAAACATTGGCGAACTTTCTTTTCACCCTTGGAGAAACCAGATCATTTTCTGGGGGGGATGTGTGGAAATAGTACGACCGTTCTGTTGCTAGTGCTTCCACCATTCAGAACTGTGTTGCCTTTTTTCTCTTTTTTTTGTGAAAGAGGCCTTAATGGACTTTTCAAGATTCTTAAATTGGTCAGATACTAAGAATTTCTGAAAAATCAAAATATTTAAGTAAATTAATTTTGTTACCAGGATTTGAATGACTCATGCTCCCAGGGTTGCAATGAAAAAGCAAAATCTGCTCTGAAGGGTAAGCAATACTAAGTACATGATGCCTGGCTCATTGAGTTCTAATCTTTGATTCTGGGTTTGCTTCTATGTTTATAAATAATAGATGTCATAATAGTTCTCATGTCTGTTTATTAATAGCACATTTTAAGAATTATCTTTGAAATCTACAGCATCATACAGTTGAAGGGTTCTGCAAGCTGTGCAGTTACTGTATGGGAATTAACTTGCATTATAGTGAAATCGACTGAGGGACTCATTAAATGAAGTGCAAAATTAATTACTTGGGAAGAGACGTAAGCAAAGCTGCAGTAAACCGCCAAAAAGATCAGAGCGTGGTTATGTGGGCACAAGCAGTGTGAATGAAGTCGTGTGGAGTAGTCATTTGGAACAGGAAAAAAGCTGAGGTGATGGGCACAGTCAGTGACCAGCTGTCTGCGTCGACAGAATTGTTTGGGCTTAAAAGCGCATCAGAATTCCTGCCACTTCTCTGTGTAGGCAAAAATCTGCTTCGCAGAGAAATGCTTTTTTCTGTCACTCCTTGTCGTTCTGGGACCAGAAGGCTGCTTTCCCGCAGCTAGACAACTTCCAGCTCCACCTAACTTTTTCTTTGGAAGCAGCACTGTCAATTTCTAAAGTCTGATATGAGGACAACTGAAAAATAGGGCTTTGGCATGAGTCTGCACAACTCCTTCCTGGTATTTTTGGTTTGCATTTGCTTATATACCCTAATACAAAGAAATCTTGGAAGTCATCTCATCTAGGAGATGAAAAGACTGGATGGTATTGCTCTAGAGTAGTACTAGCTTACCCTTAAAAAAAAAAAAAGTTAACATGGTTACTTAAACATTATAGATCTATAATGGCTGCACAGTCTGTAGTAACTACATAGTCTGCTATTTCAAACTGTAATTTCCTGATTAAGCAGAAGAGAAATTTCTGAGCTGAGACTGAGTATTGAAAGAAAAGGGCTTCAGCTTCCTGGCTTGTGCAGGTGCAGTTACCTTTCTCTTTGCTTATGGAATCATAAGTGAAAAATAGTTTCTGATGAAATATCTGTGTGTATCGGGCAGCATCAATTCTACTATGGTATCGCAAGAAGTTTAAAAGATTTTCAAACTGATTGGAAATCTAACGTTTCCTTTGCAACTTACCCTGTTATCAATCTTGTGAGCAGTTAATAGACCTCAGCCATCAGACTCTCAAGGCTTGTCTCATAACAGTGACTGATAGGTTGGGGACTAATATTGTGTGCCTTGAGAAATTGCCTTCTTTCTCTGAGAACCTTGACAAAGAAATTGGACTCTTTAAACCACTTAAGGGGGTGATCAAAACTGTCCTGCTTGAACTGGAAGATTTTTTTGACAGTTCTTGGAACAGGCCCATAAAGAAGAATTCCATTGCTGAGTTACTGCTCATAATCATGAAAAATCTTGTCATGATAGGAGTTTCCTGCGCCATAACGCTGCAGAGTTACAGACAAGCACAAGATTAGTCAGAAAGTGTTGCCATCAAATTTTTCAGAGTGAATGTCAGAGGTAGAGGGCATGTTTATTGACAGTGTAGAGCAAGAACACTTGAGAACTGGATATTATCTGCTTAGCTCTGCTGTAAATAAATGTTTATATTTTGGCAGTAATTGGCCTTTTTGTTTCACATACGAGTTCATAATTTAAGTAAGCTACCAAAGCTTTAGGTACTCGTAATGATTTGCTTTCAAGCCAGTAACCTAAGGCTCAGGGGAAGCCAGCTCTCACAGGGTGAAAAGGACTATGTGATTTTTAAATAAGTAACATTTGAGTAGAAGTCTCCCAATTCCTTTCTACTGTGAAGGAAGGCAGGGTAGTGATGGGATACAGCACGGGTCTGTGACTGGTGTTAGTTCTACCACTGTCCTGTGTAGGAGACAGTTGTCCAGTTACTTTAACCCCCCAAAACTTAGAAGGGATTTTACAGAGATCTAAAAACCTAACTAGAAAAGACCCAGTTATTAGCCCTTAAGATGTGAGTTGTTTGGGTTTTTTCCAAACTAAAATAACACTGAAAGAAGCCTAGAATCAACTGGTTAGACATACAGAATAAAATCTATCTCTGCTCTTGACTTCTGCTCTACTAGCTTGATTTCCTGAGGATTTTAGCTGCTTGGCTTGACAGGAGAATTCATGAAACTGTTTCAGATGCTTTTGTTTGCTCTGGATTTATAGAAGATGTTAAGCCGTGACAATAAGAATCAGCCTCTTGAACTGGAATGCTCTTTGCTTCTAAAAAATTTGCTGGCTTGCATCAAAGTCATAAATACTATAATGTTGCTTGTCAAATCTCTTTATTGCACAGCCACGTGGCGAAGAGATTACCTTTTTTTTTCCTCCTGTTGGCCACCACGATAAACTTTTGATAGGGAGTTGTGAGGAGAGGTAGAGGAAGGGTGCCATTAAGAGAATAGAAGACAAATGGAAAATCGGGGTGCTGTCTAGACACACACTCACTTTGTTATATTGGTGTCATCCAGCTTAAGAACTGCATTCACCTTTCAAAAAATTATCTGAGCATACACTACAATAGCAGTCCATCTTCACAAACACTTTTGTAAGCTACAACACTGAAAAACATAACCGTCTACTATTTTTCCCCCCTTGGTCAGAATTAAGAAAATCATAGGCCCTGAAAAATCTTGTGTAACAGCTCCAAAACTTCTTCCAAATGCTTCCCTCTGATTTGGCTGTCATCTGAAGATGTTTAGCTGTGCAGGTCCTTCTGGGCTCCTCTGTGAATGGCTGCAATCCCTTATGCAGGTTGAGAATCACAGGAATATTAAATGTGTGACTCTGCATAACTAAAACTAAATGTTCGCTTGTAGGGGTTGACAGATAATGTGAATTTGTAGGAGCTATTGAGTCTTCCTTACAAGCTCCGGATAAGCGTTCTTGATATATTGTCACTTCTTCTAGTTAGTAAAACCGTTTATGTACGGGAAGAGAAAACAGACTTGAGTAGCAACTAAGTTCTGCCTGGCACCTTACTCCAATTGTTATTAGAACACCTAAGAATGAATTTTTGAAGGTACATACTAACTAATACCTACAAAATTAGGTAATTTGAGAACATAAATGTAACCCTAACTTCACGTGGCTAAAAAAACAATATATAAAACAACTTAATTTTTCCATAGAAATTGTATTAATTGATGTCTTTGCATTTCTTTTTTAATTGTGGCAGAAGAAGTTAGCCAAATGGCTTGTAGTGCTAAAAGAGGTAATTCTTTAATACTAGAAGAAGAATCCTTAACTTCTACTAAGCTCTAGGTGCAGATAGCC